CAAACTGTGACCTGGAGCTCCGTGTTGGCCCCCTCGGCGCCGTCCAGCTCCGGCCTGAAGCCAGCCCAAACCACAGTACCCAAGACACACCTACAACCACGCGGAAGGCCGCAAGTCCTAACGATCTACAAGGTGATCTCAGGCACACAGCCAGCCCAGCCAGCCCAGAACTGCAGGACAGCCTCTCTCCACACTCGCCTCCTGCAGGCTCCTGCACGAGGACCTGGCTCTCCCGCCATGACGTGGCCAGTCCGACTCACCGTGGTACCACCGGGCTGGGACCAGGGCTCAACAGACGCCAGCTGAGCCAATGAACCACACCAGCCTGCACTGCCGAGTCCAGGGTCTCCTGGAACATCGCTCCCTCTCCTCTTAGCAATTCTTTTTCTCACCACCATCAGGTTAGAGCTAACAGCCTGCCAGCAAAGCTCACCCACCACAGAGGAAGCCCCCAGCCCCACCTGGAAATGGCACGGGGGTAAGGAGATGCCCACTAGCCCTCCCAAGAGTTAGCCGGTCCGGGGGTCCTGGCTCTGGGGCCCAGGTGCCTGGGCAATTCAGGGCTGAATCAGGCTCAGCCTGGCACCCCACATGCCAGGGCTTCCGAGGACACCCCGAGAGGCACATGCTTGGCCGTGGGAGCGCCTGCTTCCAACAGGGACCCAGCCGCGATGCCCAATGTGCCCACAACAGTGACCCACAGCTCGGGCTGCTCGTCCACCATCACTGACTGCACTCTCCCAGCTGACACCACTGGGGCGGGGCGGGCCCTCTGGGGGTTGGGCACCCCCACTGCTGCACTGGTGGGGGGGAGCCCATTTCACAGGCCTCTCGGGCAGTTGGCACCAACCTTTCTCACCAACCAAACCAGAACCATGGTCGGCATGGCCCGTGAAACATCTCACTGGGTAAAGCAAGCACAGAGTCAGCACCCAGCTGATTTCAAATTACAGCTCTCCCAACAAAATAAACTCTTAGGAAATTAAAACAATAAAAATAAGAGAGGAGACTGACCACCAGGCAAGCTGAGTGTGCCCTCCCCCGAGTCCTGCGGCAGCACAAGCACCATCCTTCTGCAAGGCTGCTCCTCTCCCTACGTCGGCAGGGCTGCTGGGGGCTCCTCTGAAAGCAGACGAGGCCGGCAGCCGAGCCTTCTGCAAGAGGCCATCAGCGGGATCTCTCAACCCTGGCGCGAGGCTGCCCATCACCAAAGGGTGTGCGCCTGGCCTGTCCGTGAAAGATGATGGCACACCTGCAGGCTTAGGTGTGCGAGCTCAGTGCTCGGCACAGGTGGAGCATCCAAGGCTGTGGGAGAGGCTCCCAGCCACACTGACGGCAGGCAGGACCGGCCATCCTCTGAGGACAGCGAGGGGACCAGCACAGTCGGCACAACAGCACACAGAGAGCCCCCAGGGGCGTCATCGCCTCCCCGGGCATCATCGCCTCCCAGGGCACAGGCAGATGACCAGATGTCTGGCTGGGGCAGGCAAGTTGGGAACACACGGCGCCGACGTGGCTGCACGAAGGGGACACTGGCAGGTCACACAACCATCACAAGCCCCTTCCCGGCCTCAAGGCCAGGCCATCACCACCCTAGCGGAGCCCAGCCCGCTCCAAGCAGTGCAGAGCAGCAGCAGGACGGCTCCACAGCGGCACCTGTCCCCGGCTGGTGGGGCTCAGCCCTCACGGTACCTCAGTAGGACCCTCACAGCCCTGCAAGCGCTCCGGGTGGAGGATCAAGGACTGACACTTCTGTGAAGCAAAATGACCCCCACACCGGGCGCAGGGCGTGGGCCCGGACACCAGCACAGGAAACACGGGTTCCTGGTGGGATCGCCCAGGAGGCAGCCCCCAGCTCCCCAACAGCAGCTCCCAGCAGCCTTCTGTGGGGAGGGGGCAGCACAGAGAACCTGAGACCCCATCTCCCCTGAAGGCAGGGGGCTGCTGATGGGGAGGAGCTGACCCAAGGCTCTCTCCAAGCTCCCCCTAGGAAAGGCCAACATGCCGCCTCCAGCGAGGCTTCGGACGCTGGCCGGGTCTGGGTCAGCTGCGTTTTCTCTACAGGGGATCCACACCGACTCAGAGGTGGCAACAGGTGAGAGAGGGTGTCCTGAGCCGCCCTGGACAGCGTCAGTGGTCCAGACCTGCCCCCTAGCGCAGCCCAGAGCCACAAGGAGACCCCACTACCCCAGCGCTGTCTGCGGGACGGGTCTGTGCAGAACCAGAGCTGGCCAACAACGGCCTCCAGGCCATGGGATCATGAGCCGGGAGAGGGCAGCAGCCCGAGTGTTTGTGCTTCCTCCATTGCTAGTATAACGTGTTCTGGTGCCAGGAATAAATATTCATTCAAAAGAAAAAGGACAGAGAGATAACACTTTAAAATGGCTTCTCCCCAAAAGTCAGTGTCGGCTTGGACATTTGGACAATTCAGGGGGTGACACGTCTTGCTGCCCTTCACTGTGACATGAATGCACACGGCTCTCTCTGCAAAGCCCTCTCAACACTAAATTATGGGAGGAAATTAGACGTCACAGGACCTTACATCCTCCAAGCCAGATTTATTACGTCCAGAAATTCGGCCTTTCCTCCCCTTGGCAGGGAACCCTGGAAAAAGCGAGTGGGCGATGCCGTCTCAGTTCTCGGGGAGGTCGGTGGGTGCCCACGCCCTCCAGTGTCCCAAGGGTGGGAGCAGGAAGCAGCCTTCAGAGGGTGGGTTTCCAGGGCCCTCCAAAGCTGTGGCTGAGGCACTTCTGGGGGCTGGGGAAGGGGGGCAGGGGGCGGGAGGAAGCCTGAAAATCTCCCCGTGCTGAAGGCAACACTCCTGGAGACCCAACCTCCCCGAGGAGCCCCGACACCTGGAATCCTGGGGGTCAGGAGGATGAGCCCCTCCCCAGGCACAAAGCAGCATGCACCTGCCGCCCTCCCATGCACTGTGGTCCGAGAGCCCTAACCCAGCACCCTGCCCTTCATGCCCATCTCCTCTTCTTAGTGGACAGCCACGCCAAGCCAGCGGCCTCCACCCATGATGCTGCAATCTCCCCTCCACCATCTCTGTCCTCTCCAGTGACCTTGGGGGTCTTCCACAACAAAACCAGAAAAACCACAGCCTCCTGGTCGGTGAGTAGGCGGCAGGACACACAGCAGGTTCTTGGCTGCTGTCCTAAGTTGGTCCAGGCCCCTCTTCTAAGCTGGTCTCAGACCCACCCAGCAGAAAGCAGCTGACCCCAAATTCTGCACATCAACCTGGGGCAAATGTTAACAGGGCCCTCTTGTTAGGGGAGGCGCAGGGACAGTTTCCCCACTGGCTTGGGGCCCCCAGTAACCCTTGTTCAAGGAAGATCATGACAGACGGGAAGCCATCTCTGGCCTTCCCTCTCCCACCCAGAGTCCAGGAGTAAAAGACCCCTGGACAGCAGCCAGGCTCCACCTCTGTGCTGCTCTGCACGGGGACCAGAAGCAGGCCCACTCGCCTCTCCTTAAAGGGAATGGGAACGAACGACCTCCTCCAAGGGTCACGTGCGCCTGCAATGCTTCAACCGGATCAGCAGGGCTCCGCTGCTGAGGTCTAACTCAGAGCCGGCCTGCTGCAGCTCCCCGGCTCCCATCCTCCACACTGCAGAGGCATTCCACTCTGTGCTCGGAGCGCCACGCTGGGCCACTTGGCAAGAGCGAGAAGGTGGGGAGGGAAGGTGCACAGCCACACTCTACAATCAGGAGTCCTCCTCTCCTCTCCAGTCTTCCCTTCCGGATCCTCTCTCCTCTCTGCTGTCTCACACAGCAGTGAGGCCCAGCTCACTCCAGGGCCCCCAGACCACAGGCCGCCAGGGCCATCCTCAGCAGGGCCCAGGACCTGCAGCCATGGGGGGTGCTCTCGGTTCCTCCTGAGGGACTACACAGGACCCACTGGCCCCGCCACAGAAAGCCCACATTTCCACGGCAGAGCCAGGTGGGGCTGTGGGGAGGGGGGCCTCTGGAGCTCTTTGTCTCAGGAGAAAGGCTGAGGTCAGGTCGACGCCCCAAGTTAGCCCAGCTTACGTGCTCACACACTCACACGCACGCAGGCCACCCTGCAGGGGCCCGGAGGACAGAGCAACCAAACCGGGTTTGTGAGCCAAAAAGGCAGGCGCCTGCAGTGTGGCCTGGAAGTCAGGCCTAGAAGGCCGGCTCCTTTACAGGGTGCTGGGGCAAGCTTAAACCCGAGAGGCCAGCTCGGCCGGCTCTCACCAGGCCAACCCTGTGCCCAAGAGCTGCCCCCGCAAGCGAGGGAGGCTTGTAAACACCCGCTGTGACAGGCGCTACCCTGGCTTCCACAGCTGGCCCAGGGCAGCTCGGGTTACTGTTTATATAATCCTCCAGGGTTAGGGCTGACACAGCCAACGTGAGGGCAAGGCTATGAAAAATGCATGCCCACAGCCTTTGCATCCAAAAACCCCACATTTCACACGATTTGGTCTTAAGCCTTCTCACACATCCACCCTGTGACCGTAGGCTCGGGAGCACCCGGACGCCCAGACATCGCTCGCTGACAGCACTGCCAGGCAGGCCCCACCTGGACAGACCGTGTCAGAGCCAGCCCCGCAGGCATCCCCGGCTGGGGCACCCACACCTTTAAAGACAGGGAATGTGCTCCTTTAGGAGCAGCCCAGAGTCCCCAAGCCGCCCTGTCACCAGCTGGACACAGGGCCCTGTTGCCCCCACGCTGCTTCTGCAAAGACACGGGGATCTAGACAGCCCGGACCAGGAGTCAAGAAGGAGCGGGGCTGACAGACGCGGCGCCAAGCGCGCGCTCTCCACACCGGGCCACGCTTAGAGCCGCACCGGGAGGTCCGACCTCCGTCACCCGACCTGCGCCACGCAGGCCGCACGCACAGCCAGCCACCGGCACCGAGGGTGACACGCCGCCCCCAGGGCTGCCTAAGGCCAGGTAGGGCCCGCGCAGGAACAAGGCCGCGCGCAGGCCGCCCACGGCCCCCGCCCACCCGCTGCCAGCGCGCCCTCACCTGGAGCTCGCACCACGCCACCTCCACCCAGGTCTCGGTGTCCAGCCCCTTGTAGACCGTCTTGAAGGAGCCGCGGCCCAGCTCGATGTCGAACTTGAGGAAGCGACCATCCAGAGAGGTGGCCACGGCCTTGAGGTCGTCCTCGTCGTCCTTCTCCTCCTCGGGCTCGTCCCGGCGTGAGCGCCCGGGCTCCGGCCTCGCCTCCGGCGCCCCCGCGTCCTCCTTTCTCGCGGCCGCGGCCTCTTCGTCCCGGGCGCCGCCGTCGGGCACGGGCGCCGGGTCC